CTCCCCCTTCCCACACACACATATACACAGCTGAAGGATAGGGGAATTCTTGCCCATGGAAGGATTTTACGACGACGGCGGTTCTTCCTGAACAACAATAACAGTATTTCATGGATGAATACATGGATTCGCCTAGGTCTCTTGACGCTAAACTGTGGTAATGCTTAAGAACTCCCTCGAAAGTTGTGCCAATATTACTTCCAAAAATTAATCACCAGTCCTGCAAAAGGCGTTGCTACAGTGGTTTACTGCTCCGCTATTCAAGGTACTCGAATAAGTAGGTGGGCTTTACTTGCAAGCATCATCGCAAATGAAGCATTTTGTTTGAGTGCTATGCATTTGTTCTATTTATTAGGGACTTATCAGGAACCAAACGACTTTTTTCTTTGATTTCCAATACCATATTTACATTTATACCAAACGTACTATACTTCGGAAAAAAAAATTCTACTGAAGGTGATTCAAAGGTACATAAGTTTATAACTACAGTAATAGGGAAGGAAATCACCTTGTGCACTTTCGACCATTGAACTGCTTCATGGATTACATATCCTGGGAACAAGATCTCTATTGCAGCCCTCAGTGAGATGAAGCGTTGAACCCAGTTCTGACTTTCGACCACGCCATCTTTAGAAATTCGCTAAGTAAGGGAAATTCAGTGCAAAAAGAAAAAAAGAAAAAAAGGAAAAAAGTAGAAATATGTCAAAAACAAGGAGCAGCGTCAGCAACAGCTTCTACTGAGCGACCCTCAGGAATCTTCGAAAACAGGTCTCCCTTGCAGGCGGGATATGCCAACGATGGTTCGCTAAAACCTTACGGCTTGACGAAGAAACTTTGAACTACAGTTGACATGCATCAAGGATGAGTATTGATACCTCTCCACATTATTTGCTCGTTTCGAGAACCACTAGCAAGAATTACTGATGGGCCGCTGGTGACTGTTTTTGGTCTTGACGACGTCGCCTTAAGGGCACAGATCACGATCATTCGAAGGGCGGGAACGTCAATGGCTTTCCCGCCTCTCGATCGATGTCACATCAGGCGAGTGTCGAGACAATACAGATTGCAACTATTCGTTCTAGGACCCACACGCAATCAGCTGATCGACGAGTGATAAGGCGATGTTTTTATCCCATTTTTTTTCCTCTGTTATTCTTTTTGCTGCGCAATCCCTTATTTAATTTCCTATTCTTAGAGGCTGAAAAAGGTGAGATACTTTTGCTGTTACTAAGGTTTTTTTGTTAAGTTATGCTTATATGTGAATGAATTTTTGCTAACCGTAGTCTGTTATTCGCACTAGGACCCACACGTAGGCAGTGAGACACATTGTGTAGCTCGTCGAAACGAGCCACTCTTCTTCATTCTTCTGGTCTCATTCTCGTCCAGCCCCTTTTTAACGGTTGTTCAAAGCCTTTTTTCACTTTAGAAACACCGATTCACGCTGTCTCTTCACCTTCATCGCTCTATTTTTGATCTTGTCTTCCATTTTTCATCATAATCTGGATTACGCAAAATTGTCGTTGTTGCGGGCGCTGAGACTTAGGGTGTTGATCAACCCTTTTATGAACACCTCGCGGTGGTTCAGTGGAATAGTGAAAGTAATGCGAGGTACACAAAGAATATTTGTCGAGTACACGAACTTATCAGGAGCGAAGTAGTGCCAGAAGTGCTGGGCTTGTCCCCAAGTGCCCAGGTGGTCCGCCCCGCCAGATGAGGTCATGAGGGGCATCGTGAACTGTGCCTTTAATTGCGGATAGCTAAGAAAAATCTCATGCCACAGTGCAGAAATGTTAGTGCTGGCATAGAGTGGCCTTCAGTCGGTCTGTGAAGAAGACGTGTTGCTGAGCCTATAGGAATTGTAGGGTTAGCCGAAATTACTCAGAATTTGAGGAGAAATCTAGCCACTGAAGAGATGGCATGGTTGCGATGGTTCGAGGTAGCGAGTACAAGCTGGTAGACAGGAATCACCAACGGCACGTACACTCCACTGAAATGAGTATATCAGGAGTGAGAGGCGCATAAGGTTGGTCGCGACTAGGCGTAATAACGGTAGTGGCAGTATTATCACCTATACAAATCCGACCCAATTATGGGGGTTAAAGTAGTTTACACATTAACCTAACACCTGAAAAAAGACATCCGAAAAGACGTTCTAGCTTAGGGAAGCTACCACGAGGAGGTTGCAGGTAAAGGTTGAGGAATGTCATTGAGCTAGATCTCCTTAGATCGAGGTGTAAGCTGGGATGCTCCAAATAGTGATAGGTGACGATGTGCGAGAGACATGTTGGACCAAAAAAAGGAAAATACCATGTACCTAAGAGTTCATGTCCGTGTAATGCAGAAAGAATTCATGTTCGACTCTCGATAAATCTTGGCATAGTTTTGCAATAATTTTAT